CTGTGAACCAGCAACTCTTCCGCGTTGTGAACATGTTGCACACCGGCTTCAGCCACTCCAAACCTTTCTGTGTCCCATCTCCTTGGCCAGACTTGGCTCATCGCACGCAGTCATTGCTGAAAGGATCACCAATTGAAAACTCAAGTGGTATCAGTGGTCCGAGTGATCCACTCAGAACAAGTTGCAGAAATTGGGATTCACTGAAGTCAGCTGCCGCTGCTTGCTCCTATTGTGTTATGGGCCCAAACACAACTACTGTAAGTGTTTGATGGACCGGTCCCACCATCGAGCACAGCTTGACCGGAACTGGCAAAAATGGAGATGCCATGACCCCAAGCAATGGTCAGCATCGTCAGCATGTACCCCATGCGGAATCTGCTCCCAGGTTGTCCAGTCCGACATGTTCAAGGCCAAAAGGCTGGCATAATGTCTAGTAGTACGGCCAGGAGCCCCTAGTAGCGAACCTTGCTCCTAGTAGCGAGGCCAGGAGCGCCTAGTAGCTTCTTCTTCCTAGTAGTACGGCCAGGAGCCCCTAGTAGCGTCCTTGCTCCTACCTTGGTACAAACATTATGCCAGAGACTGCAGCTGAAAAATGACCCGGGCCCACGCAAACACATACCCTGCCTCTTGTCCATAATGCCTATTTACTGTTTGAATGAAAACATTTTCTGGTGGTACCAAACGGAACCTTGCACGAAGATTTCGATTTCGCTTCAGAATCCACAGGCCAATGCATGACCGAAGGTCCTATGTCTGTTCACTGATGAGCTTTACAAAGCAGCTTGGATGTAAAGCTGGCTGACGTTTGGCCTCCTCCTGCCAATCAAGGACCCAAACACTTCTTGGGTGATGCAAATAAGCCGTGTGAGCAGCCCCCACCACCCGTATCCCTTGGGCTGATAAGTCTTGAAAAATCTCAGAGGCCTTTGCATCATGCTCACTGAGAAGTAGAACTGCCACCATTCATGGTTTTCAGGTTTGATTAGTCTCTATGCTTGTCTCGCTTTTCTTGGTAAGCGACAAGCTCCGTTGCCAAGTGCAGACATTGAAGTATTCAGTACCCTTTTGAGTATTACAGTATATTATATAGTGTCCAAATCGTGTTGACATTGAAGGCATTTTTCCGTGCAGGTTACAATAGGCACTGGCATTGCAATGAATTGTTCCAGCACTCTGCACACTCTGCACATGTTCGATCAAACCCTTTGCAGGATGTTTTGATGTGTACAAATGTATGTTCTTTTGATTGTCACGGTCAGCTCATATCATATATCTTCCCGTATCCTCGAAACAGCTGCAAACATGCAGGGGTGCTTTTGAGAACCAACACTGTCTCAGTCTCAGCACATCCAATTCGACAAGGATCATTGGCGAGCTCTCGTTTTGGCTACGGCGGTTACGGGCATCCAGGAGTACAAGTTTTGATCAATGATCAAAAGACTTGAGGAATCAGCAATCTAGAGCTCCGAGATCTGACTTTGGCGTGCACATCAAACAAATCCAACCTCTCCCATGCAAAGCATGAACATGAGCCCTGATAAGCGTTGGATCAAGTCCATCTAGGAGCATCAAAATTGGATAGGAAACCTTGTAAAAATTGCGCCACCCTCAGGGTGTAGCGACCAATAGCGATTCCTTTTTATCATTGCGTGTGGACTATTCTGGCAGCCATCGTTTAGCTGTCATATATTATATTATAGAGATGCGTTCCTTTTGGCAAAGATCGCAGACAGGTTTCCCACAAGCATCATGTCCAAGACAGTTGCTTGCTCAGTCCGCTTGGGAGGAGCTCAGGTTTGCTTTTGAAGCAGGTTGTCTTGAAACTGGAGAACTGCAAACTTCATCTCTTCAGATCTGCCCGTGCAAATAAAATAAGAGGAAACTCGCTGGCCAGTGACTTTTGGCCCTTTATAGCCACTGGAACAGGCTTGGAGAGACACCATTACTTGGGGCAAATGCACGCAAAAGTGCGCGAGAGAGTCAAAGTTCCGTAGTTCCGTTCGAAACATGGGTACAAAGTTCAACTTTGCCATGTTTGCGGCTCACAGACTACCTTTCACCTGTACAGAGCGCTGGCGAACGGTCTCTAGCACATGGGCATCATGATATATCATGCACCATCTACCGCCAGCAATCATGAAGCCTAGTTCTGTACAAATACCTCTGCACTGTGCCACCTCCACCTGGTCGAGGCATGTGCACTTCAGAAGCCAGCTTCCCTGGTTCCTTGTTTCTGTATCATACCCCCCACTTCCCATGCAAGGCCATGGGTATTGAAAAATACACAGCACATGGATGCATACGTATCATGTGTGAAGGGCCTGGCTCCATCTTGGGCAGATTCTTCTTGGCCCTTGGCAAATTGCACTCAACCAATTGTGGACCAAAGAGAAATCCATCATCTTTAGGCAAGGAGCAAAGCCTCAGCCTTCATCGTGAGGCGCTTCTCTCTGAGTTCCAGGACCTCAGCTCCAGAGCAAATGCAAAGTTACAGTGGTGCTTCACGCTTCACCGAACCACAGTGTAAAGAAGCTAGTAGTAACAAGTGCCTTACTAGTAGTAACAGGTGCCTTACTAGTAGTAACAAGAAGCTACTAGGAAGAAGTGCATCTTTACATTCAATGGTCACTTCCAGTGCATAGGGGGTAGTGACATCAAAGGCGGGCATCGAAGCTCTTGCTTGCAATTTGCTTTCTTGCTTTAGCCAACACTGCAGCCATCTGTATTCACCAGGCCACTGCAGACCGTGCCATTTGCGCCATGAGCGCATCAGTGGCCTGGCAGAATGATTAATTTTGGCAACATGCGGCTTGCATGTCCTCATGCGTGCCAAATGGATGTATATAATTTTGCTAGTAATAAGGGTGAATTTGAAGTCTGAATGAATGTTGTGTTATTGTCCAAAGGAAAGATGGTGCCTGGGTGTCCAATGGCTCCGATGCCAGCATTGTCACACTCATGGCAGAGTTGTCTAAAAGACACTTGCGATTCTCCAAAAGCCTTGGCATGACAGCAAACCAGAACTGGATCAAACACACACAATCTGAATACTCGGGAATTAACTTGCACTTCCAACATTCTCTCATCTTTTTGTCTTGCAAACAGTCTCTGGTTTCTGGTTTTTGCTTGAAACTTCCTAGCCTGGGCTTTGGCGGCACTGAATGGCGCGCCTAGGACAGTGCGACAAGACAATCACTTCATGCTGCCGCCTTTGCTACAGGACACTTTTGAACACTTCATGTCACTGCAATGAGGAGTGATGAACGATGCAGAATCTGTGAGGCCAACGGGATCCAAACGTGGGGCACCATACCAGCGCCGCCTTGGATCAGCACGCTTGACTCAAATGTCAAGTTTGCTTTTTGCCCGCTCCTACTTAATTAAGTAGGCTCCTACTCCATCAAGTAAGGGCGCCTAGTTCGCTCCGAGCTAAGAGGCAGGATAGCTCTCGCTGGCACTAATGGTTTGGTTCCTAGATGCTTAGGGAAACTTGAGCAAAAACTGCGAGGGCTTCTTCAAGGAAGCTCCCTCCCCTGCCCTCAAGCGTCCGGAGCTTCCTTGAAGAAACCTGAGCTTTGCTACCAGCAGCTACCATTAGCTACTAGTAGCGCTACTTGTTAGCCTACCTCTTCACAACCTACCTACCCCATGCCATAAAAAGAAAAGGAATGTGCTCACCCCCTCTTTGGTTCAACCTTTGACTCGCAGTCGAATCATTCTAACTTCGGACAACTTGTCTGTACCTCACTTTGAATCCAACCGAGTCTTTTTCTCAGGGTTGAACCACAAGGCTGAACAGAATGTCCTTTCTCAATGATATCAAGCACTAGTTTTGACTCAAGCTCCTTGGCACACGTACATGTTCTTGCTTTCTATCACAGACTCTCCGCCTGGGCATCTTGGGCAACTCTGGCATCAATTGCAGGAAGCTGTCAGGGCGTGCAGTTGCATTAACCTAAGAAGAGAGACCGAGGTTACAGCAAGTGCTTCATGGACAAATCTAATCCTAGCAACAAGAAGCTACTAGGGGCTCCTGGGATCGCTACTAGGAGCAAGGACGCTACTACTAGGGGCTCCTGGCCTTACTACTAGGAACAAGGACGCTAATAGACATCACCTTAGAAAGTCCGCCAAGGCACGCTGGACATACTCAACAGGCGAAGCTCCACAAGCAGGCCCAAGTCTTTTTCTGATACAGTGCAAGATTTGCTGCCTTTTGATGCAGTAGTGTAGCAAGGTAAGGTGGACAAGGAGTAGTATGCCCAGAGTTGGTGCTTCTCGCATGCATCCCTTCCTGTCAGCGAAAACACACTTCCCTGCCTTTGAGCCAAAGTGATTACAATGAGCAAAAAAACAAGAAGTTTAAGGTTGGTCAAGTGCATGGGTACATGAATGCAAGTCTCAACAACACGGCTCAGGTTGGCACTCAGAACACAGTTGAGTTCTTCCAAGCTGCCTTTCAAGCGCTCTGCCCATCCCACGAATACGAGCCAGTTGAAAAGCAGTAATGACCAAGCACAGCAATCACAAAACACTTGCCACAGTAAAAAACGAAGGTTCAAACCTCATTCAGCGATCAAGGCATGCATCCATCCCAGACAGCACCGTCATCTGCTGGAATGCGGTTGGTCTAGGGCCCAGGGGATTGTATGGGCCATTCATGTTCATTCCTATATAATCGTTGGCCATAATCTGCACAAACTTCAAAGAACATGATGTGAGCTTGAGCCAGGACGGGGTGTGGTTGGTGTACGAGCAGGAAGCTTTTGTCGAAAATGAGTCAAATCGCAATCGCAGGGCATCCACCTTGCCACAACAAACATCTATATAGGCGGTCTTGCGCTGAAAGGTGGTGCAAAATACAAGCAATGAAGCTTTAAATGGAGCTTCTGAGCTTCTTCCTAATAGCTAAATGGAGCTCAATCACGGGATATTGAGTCATCTATACTGCTTTGGCCAGCGACCATCACTCTGCGTAGACTCTACGACCATCAGCACGATCAGCTGACAAAGGACAAATCCAGCGAGCAACGTTGGCCTGGTGGGTTCAGGCCATACTCTGTCCATGCCGCGCTGTTGTAGAATTTGGTCAGGTGCCGTTGCCCACTGTCCTTGCATCTCAACAAGGACACTTCACTCAAAGCAATTCCTTAAGCCACTGTGGAAACAAAGTCTGAAAACCAACTCAGACTTTCAAACACATGCGCACCTTCAAGCCAAGCATCGCAAAGGATGGTAGCTATGGTGCTACCTTTCGGCAGCATCCTTGCCACTTTCACTGCAGCTACGCAATTGACTGCTGCAGAACTCCCCAAGAAAAGACCCTCGTGTCGAAGAATGTGATGTGCCATGTCCAAAGCCTCTTGGTCTGAGACTCGCACTGCACTATCAATGACTTGAAACCCCCCATTGTGTTCTTCTAAGCCTAAAGCAAAGTTGGCAGTAAGGCGGTCGTTGCCAATGCCTTCCGCTATAGTATCTTGTCGGTGCCTCCGGATGGAACGCTCCTCCTGCTCTGGTGCATAGAGAACACCTTTTTGGACTTTGTAATACAAAGCAGAGCCAGAAACATCCGCCAGAATCACTTTGACGCTGGAGTCTTGTTCCTTGAGAAAGCGGCCAACTCCCGCCAAAGTACCTCCAGTACCGGCGCTCATTACAAAGGCATCCAAGGATTTGTGTGGTGTACAGTCGAAGCATTGACTCCAAAGTTCGGGTCCAGTGGTTTGGTAGTGAGCTCTAAAGTTGGCAGAGTTCTCGAACTGATTTGCAAAAATTGCAGAATTCGCACTTTCGGCGTTTAACTTCTCTGCATGCTTTCGAGCGACATTCACATAATGCTCAGGGCTCGAAATGCTTGCGGGACGCACCATTTGAACTGTTGCACCAAAGCGGCGCAAAAGCTCTGCCTTTTCCTCCGCCTGGTCATCAGGCATCACAACATGAACTTTGTAGCCTGACGATGCTGCTGCCAAGCAGAGCGAAATGCCAGTGCTTCCGGACGTGCCCTCCACAATTGTACCTCCAGGCGAAAGACTTCCAGAAGCTTTCGCTTCGTGGATGATTTGCCGGGCCACGCGGTCCTTTTGGCACCCCCCGGGGCTGAGAAACTCCGCCTTGCCAAGAATTTTGCATGAGGTGCTCTCAGACAAACAGCGAAGCTCGACAACTTTAGTCTCGCCCACGAGACCCGCAAAGGCTGCAAAACTACCCCAGCAAGCAGATTCCCCACGAGGAAGCGTGTTGTCAGCAGCAAGCCTGCACGCTTTGGATCTACATTCTCTTGCAGCTTTAGATCGGCTAAGATCGGAGCCTGAGAAGCTCTCCTCCAAATGCTCCTGCATCCTTTGCAAAAGTTTGTGCGTTCGAATCAGAGCGACTGCCTCGTTAGAGGCTTCCCTTTCACCCTCTCCTTTCAGAGCTTCAAGTAGAGCCAGCGGCAAAGAGCCAGTGCTTCGAGCCAACGAGCGGTGGCGCTGTGCTTCTTCTGCAGTCATTAGAACTAGATTTGCGAAACCTATCGGCTTTGAAACATCCCAACGCGTCAGGGCCATGTCCGAATGCTTCAGAAAAATGGAGCTGATTGCACTGCGGCCACGCCAAATGTAGTCAGCAAGACATCCAATTCCATGCAAATCCAGTGCATGATCGCCACCTGCTTCCATACGCTCCAAGCTATTTCTTAGCTTCTTCCACAAGGTCATGCCACAAGGCTCCACCTGATGTGAAACACTCCCACCAGTCACACGCAGGATGGCCACAGCAGCTGCCGTCGCTCCTAGTTGGAGGCGGTGTTCCACTCCTCTGTTTTGGCGCGGGTGTCTTGCCCACAAACCAGGCTCCTGGGAGTGAACCACCTCAATGTCCTTGAACATTGCGGGATCCTGGCCGAAAACAGTCTCTGAGAGCCAAGTGAATCGATAACAAGTACAAGGCAGTTGCCCTGCTGTGATGCTTGCTCTGCTTGCTGTACCCAATTAGGACCCAACGAAACAAATCTGGAACTGAAAGGTCCTCTCCAAGGTCATAACGTGCGATAAGACGACAACGTAGCGCCACAGCACTCAGGCAAGCCCAAACTTCCCCAAGAGGTGCCACAACGACACGCGAAGGGTCTGCTGGCACCGGTCTTGGAGTTGTAACCACCGAGACCAGACGGATCTTCCTAAGGCGAACAGGAATGCCAACGATTGAAAGAATCCTCGACTTCGCTGTTAAAAAACATGTGTTTGATGCGTTTCCCTCTTCCATTGGTTCTGAGTGTCCGATCCAACGCATACTTGACCAAAAGTTCCTTGTACTGGGTGCTGCTCAGGCAGTCCAAAATGACGTCTGGGTTCTTGCCATTGATTTCTCCAATCTCCTGCAAATTCTCCAAATTCTTCAGGTCTTCGTGAACAGCATCAATTTCCAAGTGTGGAAGCACACGGAGGATTGCCTCCTGATATCATGCGCAAGTGTCTGCATAGACTGATTTGATTGACTTAAGATTTGTTTCCTCTTGCAAACATAAGGCTGTTGACTTTTGCAATGATACCGTGAACTATGAAAGGCAATGATAATCCCAGCAACGAATGCTTGAAACTATCAGCCGGCGCTATGAAGTTTGTTCTCGGGTCAATTGCCACCTAGTGTATCTGCATAGTGTGTATTTCAGGCACAGGGGTCTCACATAAAATGCAATGTGGAGGTCGGGAAGGTGTGTGTATATTGTATATACCTGAGAAGGGGGGATCAAAGCCAGCAGCCGCCAGACGAGTGTCTCTTTTTCTGGCGGGCGTCGCGGCACAAGACACATGGTCGCCGTGGATGCGGGCGGGCGGCTGTGGGATAAGTTTGGTATGAAAGAAGTAGTGAAAGAAAAATGCGATACGTTGTATGTTGGTGTAGTGTAGGTCATCATCACAAGGCAATGGCATGTGTTTGTCACATGCAGGAAGGTATGCATCTTATGGAAGTTGGAAGGCGACACAAAGGGGAAATACCGTCTGAGTTCGAGTGGTGGGATACCACGTGCACAGGAAGACCTTCGCTATAGTCAGCGGCACCGCGCGCGAGCACGGCATGCGTTTGAAAAGAAGCAGTTATGTGCTTGTTACATTTGGGGGGTTTGAAGTTTGCAATGTATACTGCGGCGCGTCGAAGAGCGGCGCAGAGGGGGAGGTCCAGCAGTAGTAGTTGAGCTAGCAAAGGAGTGAGGATTTGTGCGCCTATCGATGCACATGCCTGGACTTGAGTGAGTCATGTTCTGGCTCCAAATCACAATATGTTTCCTTTAAAGGGGCCTTTGTTAAACGATCCAAACACCTTCTTTATTCTCCTCTTTCTTATCAACTCTGCGCCTTTCTCACTCAGAGGCCTTGACTTTGGCACCTGCGTGTGTAGATCTTTGGGCCGTGGACCCGGCTGACTGGATTCGGCCATGGCTGCCAGCAACAAGGCGACGTCATGAGTCAGTAGTATATAGCATTTATCTATCTATCTATCTCTCTCTCTCTCTCTCTATCTATCTCTCTATCTATCTATCTATCTATCTATATCTATCTATCTATCTATCTATCTATCTATCTATCTCTCTCTCTCTCTATCTATCTATCTATCTATCTCTCTATCTCTCTCTATCTATCTATCTATCTATCTATCTATCTATCTATCTCTGTCGATCAATCTATCTATCTATCTATCTATCTGCACCGGCAAGCCGGAAAGCCGCGAGAAGCATCCACTCGACCGAGGACATGGTGCAAGTATAGTTTTTGCTAGGGGGCAGGAACTCTATGCCGATATGTTGTCAACCTCGCAGGCATCCCCACCGAAACTCAATCCAAATTTTGGACTTGAGCTCATGCCACTTTCGGTTCTCTATCAACTTCGCGAGTTACGGGTTGTCCTGGGAACATGCGGCTGCGGTCTGATCTGTACATGGGTCCCTGTCTCCACTCGATTGCTCAATGCCCATTGTCCAAATAGCCTCCAAAGCCCTTCATGATGCTAATGATGCACTACTCGGCGTCCATTACATCACTCGCATCATCAGACCCCATTTTCACTGCTTTTCTGACCCTCGCTTTGGAGCGCTCTCCCCACCAAGCTCTGGGTTCACCCTATCGCTCAAGCCTGGCCTATCGGCAGGCTTTCGTAATAACATAGAGAGAGAGAGAGACATTACACTCAAACTAAGATGTGGATGCCTTGATGATGACTGGTTCAAGGCAGGCATCAGGTATTGGCAAGGTGGTCGCTGCCTCCAGGATGCTTCAAGTCTATGTGGGTTTCAACGAGTTGAGGTTTAATGAAAAGCAGGTCTTAGGAATATGTGTTGGCTGAATCTAGGATGTGCTCATGTAGAACTTGCTGCCTTTTGGTGCCTTGTTCAATTAGGGTTTGCTGATATCGGCACGTGTGCCGGTATACGATTCAGGGTCAAGTATGTCTGCAGGCGAAGCTGAAGGTGACTGCCAACCCAGCAACGTCTCTACGATTGAGTCACCAGGATCAGCAGATCAACCTGCCTAGACTGACAAACTTAGTAGCTTATCAATGGTTTTACAGGGCTGTAGTGCACTACCAAGCCTGCGACCAAGTCCTGGTGTCACAAGCAACTAAGTCAAGCAAAGACTTAGATGCCGCTGCCGAACTTTTGTGAAGCTAAGAACCGCTTTGGGTACAGGGTAAATGTTGCGGCCTCACTAATTCACAAATTTATGTTCCTAGCATTACAAAAAACATAATATTATCACGACCTGCTCACCTGAGAAGGAGGGACGAAAGACAGCAAGAGACCGTCGGCCCACTGCCGATTTTGGTCCAATCATGCTCGGCTGAACAATTTGCCTGTAGATCCTGCGATCGCACCTCTCGGCTGGCACAAACATGTTGATATTCTGGCTAGAATTTCATGGTTTTTCTCGGTTACAGTATCTCCCTTTTGAGTGCTGCCCAGTGACCCGATACAGTCACAAAAACAGTGAGCAGAAAGAGTCTCCGTCACAGTGTGATCTGAAGGTATTTCCCGGACTATTTTGGCACCACTGATAAACAAAAACCGCCCCACAAACAGGTCGACTCCAGGATTGTCCAATCAGCCAACCGCCCCTGGGCCTCATCGGGAGGGACTGCCAATCACATGTCTCGTGTTGGGGTCGTCAGGTCGTCTCATGGCCGATGTTCACTTCGCACATGTTGGGACACTGAGGTCAGAGTCCATATGTGCGGCGACATCTATTTGGTACTAAACTCAAAGACACTAATCTAGTATATCTATTATGCGGGGCCCTATCTCGTTTAGACTACTTAAGTAGGAGGTCATGTCACAGTATCTCGTTCAGACTACTTTAGTGTCATCCAGCAAAAGTACCTCGTTTATGTGGGGGCCCTATCTCGTTCACAAGCAAATACGGATGATAGACAAGCAAAAAGAGCATGCCGTAGACTACTTTAGTAAAGCCTAAATAAAAGTGGTTGCTCATATAATCATATAAGGAACCAACAGCTGCAGTTGCAACTTCCCGTCCCACAACGCAACGACAGCTCGGACACGTCTTACACAGCGCAATGGGTTTGGAGGGTAGAGACGTCCCAAGGTCAATTGTTCCACATAGATGCCAGTCTTGTGAAGTGGACCACCATATGTTTCAATGTCATTCTAGTGGATGGGGCCATCCTGGAGTCGATCGTTCGTGGGTCACACACTGCGCTCACTGTTTTTGTGATGCCGATTGCACCGTGTAGAATGTGCTCGAAGAACAATAACAGTGTCACTACGTCAGATGGTCGCCGAAGTACCACTACAGCGCGAAGTCACCCCTTAGTCATCCCTTGCCACTATTTCAATGCGGAACCACCACGGCAACGCTGCTTACAAGAAGTCATCCCCGAGTCACCCCCACAAGCTAACCCCAATGGAACGCTGATACCCACACAGGATGCTTCACCAAAAAAAAGAGTCCCAAAGAGTGCAAAAACCAATAGAACGCTGGCTCTAAAACAGTGTGCTTTGATTGATTTACATCCGGTCCGCTTGCTGCATGTCAATCCCAATGGAACGCTGTAGAAAATCTGCCACCAACTTTAGTCACATCAGGGGAGTAGTGGCCCGATGCGATCGGGTCACATCAGGTTGGTGCCTTGACTGTCTGATCGAGGGCGAGTTGGTGATGCAAACAATGACTTGTTGCCAAACTCTGTGGGTCAGTGGGCAGCGCTTAAGAGGTAGATTTTAATCAGCGTATGAAAAAAAGGCAGCCGAAGTGCACTTGCAAGACCTACAGGCATAAGACAATGTCGTCACTCCTTTTGAGGTATTGCTAACCTGCCTCGGGGGAAGGCTCTGCAGAAAGTCGTCTCTCTCTTTCCCAAACGCAAGCTAACTCTGTTGGTTGGAAACCTGCTTTTAGGTTGTATGCTGGCAACCCATAGAGGGGTTGATGTCAGGTCTGTGTAGTCTTAGTCTTAGTCAGCACCACATGCGAAACACTAGCTGAGAAAGAAGCATCAACACACCGCAGCCTTTGCATGGCAAAAAAGTGGGGAGAGGTTGGGCGCACAGGCCTGCTGAAGCAATGAGTTTCTTATTCTGTGGTGGGTCCTGAAGCAATGATTGATACAAAGCCCAAGCTTTCTCTGGCGCCCGGTAGAAAATCTGTAAACGCAATGTGAACAGGAAGTTTCCAGTATTCATGCACCCTCCTGCACACAATCATCAGTCTAGCCTATCGGCTGACCTTCTTGGGTCTTGCAATTGCACTTCTCGGCTGTCACAAATATTTCGATACTCTGGACTATCAGACATGCATCTTCTGCATCACCAACTGAATAAAAGTAGCCTCGACCGAATCACAAGCATCGTGCCCTGTCTGCCCCCCGCAGAAACTAGCCAAATGACTTCGCCGTTACAAATTCGACACACTGCCAGGAAATGACCCACTCAGCCAAGGTGGAAAACAACACGTCCAATCTGGAGTTGCTCAATGCCTGCGCCACTGCAAGTAGGACATGGGTTCCCCTAATTACAAGATCCCACAAAAGGTTATGTATGTTATGTGACAACATTGATCGCGAGCAATCGATGACAATGCTGCAAAAACATTCCAAGCATTGTCCTTACAAACATCAACTTTTGCGCGTCCAATATCTGCGGCTTTGGCCAAAGCGTGATCTGCAGTCGAGCGCACAACTGCCCCATCTACCAAGCGCAGCTTTCCTACCCCTGCTCTGGCGAGCAGGATGGCAGCTGAACTACCAACAGCTCCCAAGCCAATGATCACCACAAAAGACTTCTGCACTTTTTCTTGACCAGAACCTAAGAATGATGAGCTTCTAGAAAGTTGTTCAGTGACTAAAGCCATCTCTTCGGCATCCAGTGTGGGAGACTCACCTCGTCTAGAGGCGAGCCAATGCTCATTCTCCGGATTCTCGTTTTGTTCTGCATGTTTTGTAGCTTGCTCATCCTCATTACATGGCAGCGTCAGTGGTTTCTCAAGGCATGTCGTCGCCCATGAAAGCAAGGCCTCGACTCGCTTTCGGACCTCCGGGGAAGCATCTTCAGGAGTCCTATGCTTCTCAGCTTCCTTCACAGTTGCCAAAATGAGGTTGTTTGCAGTAGCTGATTTCCGTGCATCCCACTTGCAGAGAGTGAAGCGGATGCCAGTGGCAGCAAAAGCATCCAACTCTGGGTTTAGAGCACTCCGTCTCAACCATACCTCGTGCACCATGAAAGTCGCCTCCACTGGTGTCACATCTACTAGGCAACTGCGACCTCCAGACGCGTTCAGCTCATCGCGCTTGAAGCTGTCCAAGAGCTTATCAACGAGATTGCGACGTGGGGCTGGAGTAGGCTGAGGCCAATATTCCTCCAAGTTGTCCAGGCGGTTTAAAACCTGTGATGCAATAGCCATTCCTGCGGCAGCAGGCTGCGGTCCAAGAACAGGGATGACACGCAGACGAAAATTTGCCACACTGCCAAACTCTTCTGGGTTGCTGCGTTGCTCATCACTGAGGGGTAGCAAGGCTCGCTGAACTTTTTGTGAGCTGTAGATAAAGGAGATGTGGCTCCAATCCATGCCTTGGGTGCTGCAAGCCTTCCGGAGCTTGGTTGCTAGGGGATCGTTGTCGATATCCCGCAGTCCTTGCGCAACACAAATCTTTGTGGGGTCATCTTTAGCTCCGCTGCCCAATGCACTCACGACTGGCAAGCCACGTGCGGAACAAAAAGCCAACAGCTCCACTTTGGTCTTCACATCGTCAATGCCTCCATGTGTTAACTTGATGTGGCATGATTCCGTGGAATAGGGTGGATAAGGCCTTTATAGCAATGGTTTTGCTATCTTGCACAAATGTAAAAACATTTCTGAAATTCACAGGATCGAGTTGCAATCCACCACCAATCTGGGATTCTCCACCTCACCAGTTGCACTTTGCAGGAGTAGCTCCTCGGCTGCCTCCGCTGTAAACATCGCATCCCTGGCATCAACCTGGAGAGTAGGAGAAATGGCACGGAAATGCTCAGCACAACTTGCAACCTTTGGCAAGCCAACCTGAGAGCAAAGAGCGTCAAAGAGCGTCAAAGAGCGTCAAAGAGCGTCTAAGAACCAAGGCTACATCATGCCAAGAAGTGTTACAGTTCACTCCAATGCATGCCCAGCCTGTTTCTTTGAAGGCCTTCTCTATCCTTCTCTTAAGGAGGAAGTTTACTACATGATATGACGACGCCTTGTTCCGTTCAAAGCTTCTCAAGTGCAATTGATCAATATTGAAACTGTCATGTGGGTGAACAAGGCCTAGGCGGCCTAGATACATCACGCCGCAGGGCCACAGCATGGCGGTTCAGTGAAGACAGCGACACACGATCAAAGTCAATGAGGCGAAGCCGCCGTATTGTCCCCGATGCACCGCTGGCCCGAAGCAGGGCATGGGCACAGTGGCTACCAACACCGCCCAGCCCAACAACCACCACTGGCGCATCCATGTTCCATGCGCAAGCTCTGTGTGTTTTGTTAAGCTTGGAGTTCTATGGGCAAACCGTCCGATCAAAAGATTATCCACAATGTATTTTACATTGTCTGATGTGCATTGAGTAAGTAGACTTGAAGTAGACATTTGTTCTTGCAAAGTACATCCTGACACCATCCCGCGAATGGGATATCCTCTGCTGTGCAAAGTACACTTGTGTCTCAAATATCAACATACAGTAACTAACACGCAGTTGTCTTCCTCTATGTCCAGAGTGTGGGCAAGCTTGAAGAGGCCTTGACACATAAATATGGCATGATGGTAGCTTGTGAGTTTTGGACTATCATGTTGCATGGGTAGATGTAGATGGTGTAAAATAGGCTTGAAGTATATAATATCACAACGAAATGTGCTTTCAACAAGTTGGACTAAGCTGGCGCTCCCTCCCCCTCTCTTACAGCAATGTGGGCACCGATGCTCTTGCAACCAGCCATCCGGATGCTCCTTGTGCTCCTGGCTTAACCTTTGTGGCGAAAGGGAATTTCAATCAAAGCATCTGAGTGGCATGCCTGTTGCAAGCAAAGCAGCAGTCTTCACCCTTCTGGGTTGCTATATCTCAGTTCACAATGCTTTCCCAGAAGACCACCACCCGTGTCACAAGCGCTTCATTAGTTGAAAGTTGAAAGCAAGATAGGTACTGCAACCTCAGAAAATGAAAAACTTAATTTTAAGAGAACGCAGTGCTCAGACAGAGCTGAAATCATTCAAAAATAAATAAACATACTCAACTCAAAAACTCAAATCCAAAACAAACGGTTGTCGACTGCAAACACTCAAAACAAACCCCAAATAAACGCAATAAAAACTCAAAAAAAAATATCATGAAAAACTCAACTCAGACTCAGAGACCAACTTGAGTTCAATTTGAGTCCAAACTGAATCTGATTTGAGTGTGTCCTACCAAATAATCAAAGTCGGACCCACAGTAGACTCGCATCAGATCAAATCAGTTGTTCTTTGTGCTTTCTTGCGTTATTCCGTGAGTTTTTCCTGAGTCTAATTTGAGTCAAATCTGTATCGAATTCCAGCCTCTTATTTGAGTTGATTTGGAATCTGAGTCTTCTATGAGTCGCTTTTGAGTAGGTTGCTGAGTGTTGTTGTTTTATGTTTTTTCATCTTGATCTCTTGCTGTCTGGGATCGCGTTTTCTTAAGCTTACATAATTATATATATAATTGCTTTAACTGCACTCAGTCAGGATTGTGTCTAAACAAACTCTTGTCATAAAGTCTACACACAAGTGAACAGAACCCTTTGGTTATGACCTAGATATCTTACTGTAGGCTTCGTCTGGAAGTCCTCACGCCACCAATGGTGTTGCTTAGGCTTACGCTGGCTAACTTTGTGATCTTTATCACACGAGACGACCAAGAAACAGCCACAATCTTTACAACAAGGAAGGATTGTGATGTGGTAGGGGCATTCACGCAACAAGCTGCTTTGCGCAAGCCATATACCAATGAGTGCCACAATCTGCAGGGTGCCCGGTGGTCCGCAGTGATGGGGGTTACTGGTACCATGACTTTTTGCCTTTTCGAGTCTGGGGTCTACATCCTCAAGTTGGCTGCGCAATGTATCCGGTCATTTCAAACCACTCTTCTGTTTCTTCTTTGTGGTGACCAGGATTGACTTTCACCCAGCAAAACTGCTTGTTTGAAAATTAATATAGGCACGGCAAAAGCATCTTGCCTCCGGAAAAAATAAAACAATCCCGCTATTCTGAATCCCTATCAGGACCGGACCAGCCGGTTGGACGGCTTGGATCCTGTACGCAATCTCGACACGAAGACTCTGGAGGAAGCGATTGCAAATGAAATGAATTGCAAATCAAGCAGGAATCATTCCTACTATAGTAGGCCAATGTTTGGATTCAAGAAGAATTCAGCGAGAAGCTCGCCATGGTTCAAGCAGGAATGACCAGCCTGGATGGACGAGCGGCGGTAGTTGTCCATGGCCTCTTGGACCTTTTGGTTTGCCTGGATAAAAAAACATGTACAGCTTCTTGTTCCTAGTAGTAAGGCCCTTGCTCCTAGTAGCGATGCACTTGTTCCTAGTAGCTTATTGTAGATCTATGGTGATGTATGAAAGCACTCAAAAACGTGGAACTGAAAGGCAGCAATTGCTCTTTCTGATCTTAGCCTCTTGTGCGCTTTGCAAGCCCTTCTCCAACTTTGCGAACAAAGCCCCCGCAGTCTGCTCAAATTCTGCCCTGGTGCTGGCGAGCCTCAAAGCCAAGCAGGGCGGTAAAGCAACTGTCAAGTGAGGCAAGGTGGAAACCCTATCAACATCCTGTGAGCTGGTTCGATGATGTAGCAGTTGCAGCAAACAGCCTAGAGTCTTTCCATGGGCAATGATTACAATGACACGAGCGATTGTACAGGACTTTCAGGCCTTATGACAGCATGAGAATCATAAAGGTATGTAAAATTATATAAATTATATATATAATTAGATAGAAACAGTGCATGCTTTGCACATATTATTTGAAACAAAAAAGACAAAAACATCTAGGGGTCTGGGGAGGGTGTAGCGCTTCCCCCTGAAAGTTTTTGTTGATTTTGCCGCTCTGGCCTTCATGTCTTGGCGAGCGCATACTTTGTGACTTAAAGTGGTCTTCTCTTCTGTCTAGTTTTCTTGCAACTCTCAAGCTGGCAATTAAAAGCACAATGCCTCACAGGGGATTTTTGAGGTTTTGTCAGTGTCGTCAGCATGCTCACCCGTCGAACAAGTGGTGTCTTGTGAGAAGCCCGAATGGACTCAGGCCGTTATCCTTGGCAACATCTCACATGCCTGCAAATTCGACAGTGCTGTGTAAAGATTCAGACGCCCTCAGTACTTGCGGTTGGATACACGGAGGTATCGCAATCACAGTCTTTAAACATTTCTATTGCTATTGTCTATGTTCTATTACTATGTTTTTTGGCCCGCTCCTACTTATAGTTAAGTAGGCTCACTTAATTAAAATACGGGAGAAGTAAGCTACCAGGCCAAGTAAGCTCCAGGATAGGACGCAGGATAGCTCACGCTTCAAGGAAGCTCCCCCTGAGGGCGGGGGAGCTTCTTTGAAGAAGCGCTCGCACTAATGATTTGGTTCCTACCTTACTTAATTTTGTCTTGATCTCGTGTTCAAGCAAAGAACCCTTGCGGAGGCACACCCGAAAATTCCGTCCCCCAATTTCAAGACCTCTGAACCTCCAGCCCAAACGAAATCGATGTTAGGTCAGCAGTCTGACCTTCAGATCAGTTCCGAGCGTGGAACCTGGAGATTGTCTTTCAAGTCTATCGATAATTTATCTGCATCTTATTGTCTACGATGGTCAAAGAAGAGTCTTAAGTGCCACAGCATTGAATCTGGCCTGATTTTTGGAGTCTCCAAAAAGGACCTCACTGGCGCCTCAACCGGTTTACACCAAAAAGCGAGTCCAACACCAAGCACCCAAAGTAGCGGATGCCGATGCCCTTGAATCCAATGCTGTTGGCTACCATGAGCAACCATGAGCAAATTCAACTGCACGCCCAAAAAGCCGTTTTTATCAATTGCCTGTCCGACACCAAAGTCGGAAGCTACCATCGAGTTGTTGATTGTTCAATTTAACTCTTGACGATAGAACGTGGTGTGTTTTTGTTTGAAAAAGGTGGTGGGGCCAAGAGCGAGCAAAAGTCAGAAGCTATCATCAAAATCGTGTTCGGTTCTGATTGGTTTGGCTTGAAAGACCTGGAGGGGTTAGGGGGAGGGCATTGCACCTCTCCGCCCACAGCATCAGTAACACCAAAGTGGCAAGCAGCGACAAAAGCCAGAAAAATAAAGACAACAAATCCCAATCAGCTGGAACCACCCAGGCAGGCGACCAAGGGAAGTATGGGACCAGGACACCAGGGGACAAGAAACAAGCATACAATACAAGTAAATATGAATTATAGTGCTTTTGAATGCGTAGGTAAATAGTTGCCATCGTCGCTGCTGCGTGCCTGGTGTTTTTGTTGGCTTTCATGGTCAGCGATGTCTTTTTCGCATGTAGTGAAATGGTATGCTACGTTGGGCGGGTCACAGAAGGTATGCTACGTTGGAATGGCTCCTTTCTCCTGTAATTTTTGCCCGCGGGTGGCTCACAAAAGGTATGCTACGTTGGAATGACTCCTTTCTCCTCTAAATGTTACCCTCGGGTGGGTCACAAAAGGTATTCTTTCCAAGGCCGGCTTTCATTTGAAGTGATAGAGAAGCAGATGAAAGCTGGTTTCATTCTTTGCAAGTGCTTCGCTTGGAGTTGCTGTTCGCCAAGACTGTGTGAACATGATGAGCAAGTCGTGTTTACAAAGACACCTCATATACATTATCAATGATGACGGCTCGTGTTTTTGCAAGTTGCTTCGATGAACTCGAGAAAGACATGACAGAGAAGCACCGGCTTCATTGCCTTGAGCGCTGCTGCTGGGAATGAGATGCTGACCTGGTGCCATTTGGAGATGGCTCATCTTGCTATCTCCGAACCAATGCAGCAATTCAAAAAGCGCGCGGCTTTGCTCCTCTCATGAACAGTGGCATGCAGTGTGCTGCTGGAACTATGTCTGACTCTTTCGACGCAGCCAGATTGACGACTACTCGTCTTCTCGCTGGCTACACGTTGAGCCCAAACCTGATTGAACAGTGGGGCCTTGAGAGCTTTGGTTGGCCCACCCTGCTATAGAGGCTTGCTGGGAAACTGTGGACTCAGCACTTGAGTTGGCGCATGACAAGATTGTGCTGTGGATGCTAGACCCAACACTTTCTGGACATCGCCGCAAAGACAGAAGCTACAGAGGGAAGCGTTTGCGTCAGAAACACAGTCTGTGACCGAGTGTGTCGAAGCGGACGGTACATCAATTGGCAGGTTCTTTGTCAAACGCACCAACCATACATTCGCAGAAGACATCGCTGCTCTGGAAGAGAAAGAGGGGCGAAGTTACGCTGCATACCCAGTTCATATTCGCTTGCTCGGACTGCGGGAACGCGGTGGGCGTTTGATTCTTCGGTTCTTGAAACCGCGTGGAGCTTTGACTATGATATGACTTTGGACATTGGTGTCTTCTTGTGGTTTCCTGCTTCATTTGCTCCTTCCTTTTTTGGGCAAACGATCCCAGGTATGTTGGCCGAAATCCCCCCCTCAAGAGAGCTGATCAGAAAATTCCAGTTCACAAATTTTGTGTCGGGTGAGTTCTGCAAGACCAGCAGCGTTCGCAGGCGGCGCCAGGGCATGGTACAAAGCAGCTGGACAAAGACGTTCCACGGGGGTTGTCGCACGAAGCGGGCTCAAACACTCATGCAGATTGGAAGAAATTGAAATGTTGGCTGCCACAGACAGCCAACAACGAAAAATTGCAAAGGTGCAAAGGCCACGCATTCAGCGAAGCTGGAGATGCATGTGTGGCAATTGGTGTTTCGACGTGACAAGTTGCGAGGAACACCGGCGAAGAACGTGAAAGCACTCTCCAAAGTGTGGAACGCAAAGTTGCTTTCGAAAGTGCCAAAAACAAGGTGCGCCCGTGTATGCCGCAGCCTCAGGGGGAACGTGACCACTACAACCACGAAACAACCAGGCGCTTGATGGCATCGTTCCCAAATAGTTTGTCTTGAAGTGTGTGAATATATTTTGGTGCAAATGGCATGTTGGTCTATGTATAAACTATAGCATGACAGCCCTCCACATGTCGGGCACCCGTTTGGTGTATGTAGATTGTCGTAGGCCTGTACATGACCTGCTTGCCTGGAATCCAGGCGATAAGGACCAGACGCCGAAAGCAGAGAGCCTTCCAAGACGGAGACTGCAAAGGTCTCACGCAGTTGTGCCATGGAGCCTTGGGCAATGCGAAGCCAATGGACTTGAGATCGAATATATAGGGAGTTGTTGCATGCATTTTTAGTCAATTAAGAGGACTCAACTGAATCAATATACTGCGGAAAGAGTTGAACTCAGGCTCAAGCGCTGGAGGCCAAAGACTTGTGAGAGAAGTGGACTGGCGCCGTGTGAAAAGAATACCGATCGAGAAAAAGACAACTATATTGGATCCTGTTCTGTGTCTACAAGACTCCCAAGAGCAGTTTTTTCAGCGCGTCACGCTTCGCGCACCAGAGCACGAAGATTCATTAACAAAGCACCTGGGATGGCCATACATATTCGATTCAAGTGCATACTGCCAACCCGAGGTAATGTGAGGCACTTCTCAGAAGCTGCTTGCCTGACATCACGAGGCTCCGAATGACAAGTTCATGCGTGTCCGTGTCAGCGGCTGATCTTAGCAATTAAGGGGTTTGCAAAAGCACGATGAGGAAGACGCAGAATTTCAGAAGTCAAATTGTCAAGCGTTTGCTACAGCTCTGGGTATGCTAGTGACACATAATTTGTAATCATGCATTTGCAACGTGCCTCAGTGGCTGAAGCCTCGCTAGCATCCCTTGCAGCCCGCAGGGCAGCCAGGCGTCCCTTCACCGCCTTGTCCATTCGTACGGTTGCGGAGTTCACCATCATTCATGTGGTTATCTTCTAACAACGAGTTCACTCGCAGTTGTACTCCCCAGTTAAGTGACTGATTCCATTTCAACTCCTCCAAAAGAAAGATTCAGCTCCATTACATTCCATTACAGCAAATATCTCCACAAGAGACCCCAAACAGTATGTCAGAGGTCTAAGGCCCTAGACGTATTTGGCTCCACAGAGATCTCGAGATCTAGAGGTCCAGCGATTCAGAGGTCTGGAGATCTTGAGATCCATTTACTGTAGGTCTTGAGGTCCAAAAGGATCTAGAAGTCCATAAAGATCAGAACGCCTGACATCCAGAGAGGTCTAGAGGTCTAGATTTGGAGATCTAGCTCTTGAGATCCAGAGAGGTCTTGACATCCAAAGGTCTGAAGACCCTAAGTCTCTAGAGGTCTAGAGTTTGAGGCCGAGGAGATCTACAAGTCTTGAGATCCAGAGGTCTAGAGGTCCAAAGGTGAGGTCTTGAGAGCGAGCGAGCGAGCGCGAGGGAGAGAGAGAGAGAGGGAGAGATCTGGATGTCTAGGTAGGTCTGGCCGAGATCTAGAGGTCTCTAGGTCTAGCAGAGATCTAGAGGCCTAGAGGTCTTGAGATCCAAGAACTCTAACTCTAGTTGTCAAGGTCCAGAGTTTGGGGGGCTAGAGGCCTAAAGCAAAGGTCGAGATCTTGAGAACCAGCGTCTTGAGATCCAAACCTATCTAAAGGTCTACAGATCTAGAGGTCTAGAATCCAGAGGCCGGGGTCTTTAGATCCAGAGAGATCTAGAGGTCTAGTAGAGATTAGACATTTTGAGATGCAAGCCTAGGAAAGCACAAAAAAAAAGTCAAGGTCCGAGATCAAAATCCAGAGGTCTAGAGCTCAGAGGCCTCGAGAGAGCTCTTGAGGTCTAGAGTTCTAGAGTTTAGACAGCTTGAGAGATCTGCAGCGATGAGAGGTCTAGAGGTCCAGGTCTTCTTAGAGATCTCGACCTTGGGAGCTCTGGAGATCTAGAGGTCTGGAGGCCTAGATCTAGAGGTCAAAATCTAGAGATCTAGAAGTGTAGAGGTCTTGGAGGGTGTAGGTCTAGAGGCCTAGAAACCTACAGGTGTCAAGGTCTAGAGTTTGAGAGGTCTAGAGGTGGAATTCTAGAGTTTGAGAGATCTAGAGAGGTCTGAGGTCTAAAAATCCAGAGCTCGAGTCTGGAAATCCGGAAGTCTTGAGATCGGTCTAGAGATCTAGAGGTCTACCGATGTAGGTTTGGAGGTTAGGCGTCTCAGCTCGGTCTAAAAGCGACGGCTTGAGAGAGGTTGTCTAGAAGAGACCTGGAGGGCTGGAGAGAACACAAGTGAGAGGACATGTAAGAGCACAACTGCTGCGCCTGGCACGAATTCTACGCTTCAAGGTTCACCAAGCGCTGCGCTTGCCACGAAATCTGCACTTCTAGGTCCACAAAGCGCTGCCTGCCAAGAAGTCTGCACATCAAGATTCAGACCGCCCAGCCCTGCCACGGCGGGCTGCAGCAAGAGCACTTCCAAACACACGATCGAGATGCCAAAATGCAGCTTTTGTTTGAGACGTCCCCCGATGTCTGAAAACGAGCCACATGTCCAAAGGTCACGATTGACTGCACCCAAAGCGCTGCACCAGCGAAGTAAACTTTACACGCAGCCACAAAAAGTCTACTTTGGACCACCAAAACACGAGGTTTCCTTTCGCCTGCCACGAAAAGGGATCACCAAGTCCGAACATGTGCACGGCACCACAACGAGAGCGCAGTCTTGAAGATGTTTGGGGAGTTGAATCCACAGCTACTTACTTCTTCCGATGCTTTGTAAACAGTTTTTCAGTGACTCCTATCATGCCTGGCCTGTTCAATCCCAATTCCAAAGATGCTTTACTGTATTCTGGTTGTCTTTTATAAATCTTTGCTGGGTGTTCGCTCAAGTCTTTCTTTTTCCACGGCTTTCGCAAGCTTTCCAGGCCTCTCTTGCAGCACGTTTCTGAGGGCCGAGGGTCCCTCTTGCCAGATCTGTTTCTGCAGTTAGCCGCCTGTCAGCGTTTTGCTGTTTGATGCTGTTTGGCTAATTACTAAGGAAGTGCCAGCAAAATGTATCTTAAAGGTATTCTAAAGCCACCTCAGCCACCAATGGAAAAGTCAGGTGTCGGAACAGTCACAGGTCGGTATGCATATACTGTCAAGAATCGGATGTATAATAAAAGCAAGCAAGCTCAAAGCAAATCTCACCCAAGCGCTGCCCAAAACGAAATATGCCAGCTGTACTCGCGCAAGTGTAAGTCCTTCAAGTCCAATCTTAGAGCTCTTGAAAGTTGTTCAATGAAGTTCTGAACGATTATGTTGAGGCCTGACAGGACCTCACAGCCTCACAGCAAAGGTAGCTATTGACGGAGGTTCACTCAAACTGCCCATCAGTCCTCGGCGGTGCTCCGCCTGGGTCCAGGCCGGCTGCAACATGTGTTTTTTGTTGCATAGGCCAATGAAACATCTTGATAGGGTCACACAAAGATTCTAAAGCTAATTTTATACACTGTATATACATCCTGTGTTAATTGTTCGTTGTGTTCCGCAGAAACATGTCAAGGCACGGCCGCTCAAAGGGCTGCATTGGCAGGTGAAGCCTCGGCTTGGTTTAGGCAAGGCCTTTTTCAACACGCAAAGCAGTCTCATCGCTCTCTGAAGAGGTTCAAATGAATGTTGGAAATCTGATAGACCAGTTCCTGGGTGAATGCGCTATCAATTGTTTTGAGGTATCGGGATGAGACAACCACTTTACATTCTTGTAATTTTATTTGCACAAGCTGCGCAATCTGTATGCCCAGGGCTGGAGGTGGAAATTCCTCAGCAAACCACAAAAGTCCAACTGTTCAGACCCCGCATGGTAAGGACCCAAAAAAAGATCCCCAAAAAGACGAAGAGGAGCATAAGGGCTCCAAGCTTGCTTTGAAAAGCAATGAGGACTACTCTTAATTCCAAAAAACTGCTCTACAGGAACTGAAAGCATCTGACTGATTTGCTCCTCAGAGCTGTTGAACTGAGAGCGTCAAGATAGATGCTAGAGACATCAGGACAAGATATCGAGACTGTCCAAGATATGCTACCAGTTGTAATGCCCTTGTTACTAGTAGCTTCTTGATCCTAGTAGTAATGCCAGGAGCTACTAGTAGCATTCTTGTTACTAGCTTCTAGCGAAGCCCTTGGACTGTCGGCCTTTGTCACCGAACTTAGAGCAAAAGGCAGAAGGCTTTGTCTGCGCTCAGAAGAGTCGGATTCAGCGGCCTAGTGCTGTGCTATTTGCTGGACTAGAAAGAGTGATATCATATATATAACCCACTCATGTGTTATCTGAGTGACAGTTAGCAAGTGTCTTCAAAATCATTCCCAACCACAATCAAAACAAGTGGCAGATAGGCCTGCTGGTGAAGAAAAACAGAAACTAAACGCACTGATTGACCTTCAAAAGCAGTCCATTCAGATATAAATGTGAGGCACACCAAGATGGAACTTGCTGCTTCTGCAGGTATGTTTCTCGCAGGGTGCCAAAAAATGAATAAACTTTGGAGCAGCCCAGTCATCAAACCTGCTGGATCTTGAGCTTCCAAAGGAAAAGGCACTTCCCGGAGCTCTTCCAGATGCCACATCACCTCAAAAGCTTCCACATTGCGGACATAGAGCCGCTCTGAGCATGTGAACCCACAAGAACGAGCAACATATTGTGATACAAAATACATTCCAGGTATCGACAAACCGTTCCAAGTGGGTGGCTTAATTTCAATACCTGGCAAGCAAAGTCCACCACACCCACAATGCGCGTTGATACAGGCATGGCGCTATCGAAGGTCACCTGCTTTGCTGAAGCGGATGGAAGCATCACAAGGGATGCCACATTTGATCATATTGCTGGCCTCGCTTGCTGAACTACAGGGAATGGCATACGCACTGACTGAAGCCATGGAAATGGAAGACAATCGAACACCTTTTGATGAACGGTTGACTGAAGATCTGATTTTCAATCTGTGCAATAATTGGAGCAGCCGCCCCGGAAACAAGTGCCACACGGCCAAAGGCATGTCGTGTTGCCAACAAGCACGGCAAGCATTGAGTCGGAGCCAAGTCACGAAGGTCGCCTCTGGCGACATTGGCTTCCCACAGTTCTTGTCATTGACCCAGGAAGGTAGGGTGCCTGGAAGAAAGGGCTGTGAGGTTGTGAGCACAAAAAAACCCAAGACGCATTTCACATGTAAAACCGTCTAAGCCTTTGCCATATTGTTTGCTGCTTGTGGAATACATCGCAGACGGGTCCAAGATGTCATCCTGCCCAAGAAAGGCAGAAAGCATGGGCATATCAGCTGCATCTTGCGGCTATCCTTCCAACAAAAATCCAAAAGCAATGTTGCAGGCCGACGGACAGACGGACCACTCAAATCTACTAATGCGGATCTTTCCATACAAGACAGCACCTTCAGACAACTTTGTGAACATGAGGGAGTGGAACTTTCTTTATGGCAGTCTCATGGCCAAGCCTCCCCGTGAAAAGATCTGCTCCCGGAAAAGAGGCCTCTTATATAGCTCTACCAGGTCTACTGTCAGCCAAAGTGTTCGTGTTTTCGTGATCATTCACTGGCACAAAATTCCACAAAAGGAATTCTAAGAAAAAGCCCTAGCAATCAGCATGCTCAAATTCGAGGCCCTGGCTGCTGGAAGGCCGACGAGAGGAGCATGTTGAGGACCCCTGGAAACGGAAAAATGCACCGCGCCGTAACTATGGCACAATGCGCTCTGTGATGTGCGTGTGCATTATCTGAAGCCCGACCACATGAACTTTTGAAAGCGGCAGGCTCCCACACTGCGGCTTTTGGGCATGAATGTTGGCAAAGAGCACGAATACTTGAAGGATTATTAAACCTCTCCAGCCCTATGATTAAATGATGCTGGATTGGTTGTATTCAAGGTGGTGCCCGGAGACCAACTGGGGTCCATAGTGATCGAAGTTATTCAAAAGCAGGGGTGCGTTAGTGGAGAAACGTCGTCCAGACTCCAACAAAAAAGAAAAGAAATATAAATAAATAAAGAAAGAAAGAAAGAGAGATAGAGAGATAGAGAGATAGATAGAACGAACGAAAGGAATAAAGAAAGAAAGAGATGATACAGTAGACTCAGTAGACAAAACGGAAAAGGGTCTGTTAGTGGAACTGCCATACACACAACCTCGTTGTCAGCCTGAAATTACAATCCAATAGCACACAACTATATAGACGCACTCAATCAGTCCACTGATACAAGAGGGAGATCACCTTTGTGATATTGGCAGACACTTGAAATCCAAAACTTTCAGGCAAAGAGATGATGGGGGCAACAATGGCCAAGCGTTCGCCCAACTAAAAAGAACACGATGAGCTACACTTGTCATCTTCAAAGAAGGCATTGTAAACATAAAATTGCAAGAAAAAAATCAAAGACCGAGCAACATGTCGGCAAGCATCAAAAACCAGCGCTGAGGAAGAAGGACATTGTCAGAGAAAACCAGGAAGCGCCTATATGAGCAATTCCAAAACTTGGAGGGGCAACACAATCAGCATGTAAAAAATTCAGAAGTGCGTTGAAGAAATGAACCCAAATGTATGTGCAAATGGCTGCATACCACCAAACACTAGCCACATTGTGACACACAAATAGCTGTGGCATTTGGGTGCATGATAAAGATTCGTGGTTACAAAGTCTGTGATGAGGGCTGTGGCTGGGAGAAGCTAGTTCAGGGCTCCGAACAGAGCTGTAAACAAATGAAATTGTATTGAACAGAAGGTTGGGAAGGGGGGGCAGTTTCCTTACCCTTTGACCTAGCCGGCCCCAACCTTTCTTTGCAAGCTTCAATACAAGACTTCAGTGCTTAGTAAGTAACTTGGTAATTAACTAAGTGACCTTAGTCCGTTTGGAAAAAGAACAAGAAACGCAGCTCGCCCATAAGGCCAAAACTTTCAAACCCACAAGTGCCAAATGAGGGTTGCTGGTGAAATGTTTCGGGCGCATGGTTTTAGCATGACTTTTTGCAAGCTGCGAAGTGAGTCGCGAAGTGAAAACACCATGGCAGACTCCTCTTGACACTTTGAATACAATGCGCCAGACATGCAGTCTTGACATGATGTCTTGACACCTTTCTTGAAGCTTGAACATGTTGGGCATGACCGAAGCCCTTCCTTGGTGCGAGAAAAGGCGGTAGCAGCCTTGTTTTTTACACGTGGGCTATGAACCCAAGAAGCTGCTAGCCATGTCGGTGACCTCCTCGATGGAGTCGGCGAGCTCGGGAAAAAAGAGGATCCCGGTGAACCCTTTTTGGTCAGAGCAGATCAAAAAGGAGGCGATCCTGAAAAGCTTGAGGCCGATGTCTCTTCCTCCCGCGGTTGAGCGGGGTCGAGGACGAGAAGGTCAGGGTTTGCCCATGGTGGCATTGAAGGCGGGGCCTGAAGTGGATGAAGTTCAAGAACAGACCTTGCACATGGAGAGTGTCATGGCCATGGTGTTGCACAGAATTCGGAGCTGCAAAACGAGTCAAAAGGAGGGTAATTGCTCTACGCCAGTGTCAGGCAGCTCCTGAAAAGAAGTCGAATGACACACTCAGCTGACCTATGGCGCAACCCTCTGCAGCGGGATTGGCTTTGGTGCCGCGCCGATTTCAATGAATGGCTCAGGACAGCCGAGCGGGTTGATGAATGGCAGGTCAAATGGGCGACGCAGCTGCGATGATGCTTGACTCGGTGGGCAATCAGTGCAGTGGGGGGAGGACAATCCCTCGAAAGGCCGGCGCAGCCGCTGTGGAAGAAGCAGTGAGCCAAGGGCCGATGGGGCAGCCACAGGTGTTCTTTCCTCCTGGTTTTGGATGCGCTGGCACTGGTAAGCTGGAGAGGAAGATCAAAGCGCCGCAGGACAGGACGGCTGTCTATGATGGGCAGAGATCGACGAGCTCTTCTTGACGTGGGGCCACCCACTGTTTGAGGCAAGCTGCTGATGAGGCTGAATGGAAGTCAGCTATCGAGGTTGAAGTGGCCCTGGCCTCTGGGACTGACATGCTTCGGCAGATCCCTTGCACGAAGACCCTTGTGACCCAGCAGCCTGCGCAGCCGATCCGGACGGAGGCCCGAAAGTACCTGCACACACAGCAGATGTGCGGACCTGGCAGGAATACCGCAATGCCTTTTTGGAAGATGGACTTAAGGGATGCCGAATTGACCTGAGGCACTTAGAGCTTTGAGGGCGGAATTCACGGAGCTGGAATTGTGGGAGGAGGCCTACAGTGCTGGCAGCGAATTCTATATGGAGGGGTGAGGTCGCTCTGACTGGGGGTGGAGGAGGGCGAAGTGGAGAACCGCTTGAAGAGGGAGTTCGACTGCGAGAAGGGAGAGGTCAAGGCCAAGGACCTTTCCGAGGGTGGTGAAGCCAGAGGAGGTGAATGTGACCGACCATTAGCACCTCGACTCAGCGGGTGACTGGTGAGACAGTCTACTACCGCCGGGCTTGGAGGGTGGAAGGAGCTGCACGTCCGCAGGCTTGCTCCGCGATCAGGGGGTCGAAACTGGTCATGGAGATTCAGAAGTGTTCCGCGTGCTGGGGCCGGACACCACCAGTGAAATTGTCCTTGCCGAGGGAAAATCGGCGGAATCAGCCACATGCGATTCGGCCATGTGAACGATGCAGGAAGGCTTAAGCTGGGAGAAAGATCGGAATTTTGAATGTTTTTGGGCGCCTGTCGACCCAAAAGGGGGAGTGCCAGACATGCAGTCTTGACATGATGTCTTGACACCTTTCTTGAAGCTTGAACATGTTGGGCATGACCGAAGCCCTTCTT